GGAGAAGGTCTCCCGGCCCGAGCCGAGGTAGTAAAAAGCACAGACGGCAAGCGCCGCGGACCAGAAACAGCGCGCAGTAGTGAGAGCGCACAGCGCCCAGGCGCGCCATGGCCCAAACGCATGGGGGCCCGCCTCGGAGGTGACCCATGCACCGCCGGCCGGAGGACCCAGCAGCCACAGACCCGCAGCGGAGATCCGTACCCCGGCAGCCACTTAGTAGCCTCGGCGGCGGGCGGTGAGCAGCGGCCATGGCGGAGGCGGAGCCGCGCTGCCGAGAGCCAATCCGAGGGCTCTGATGCGCGGAGAGGCGGGGTAGGGCTGCCCGGCAGCCGCTGGGTCCTAAGCTCAGAAGGATTACAGCCAGCATGGGCCGCGTGGTCCGAGGAGCAGTGAGGACTCGGACATAGAGGCCAGCTGGCTGTACCGTCTGTGAAAAATGGTGCTCTTAAGTACCCATCCCCAGACGCTAGAAACCGAAGCTGAGCCTTCAGCTGGCAAAAAGACTAGACTGGACGCACGAAGAGAAAAATTTTCTCTTGATAACTTCTCGCCTCTAATTTCTTGAGGGCTCCTTTCACACCTTGGATACTAGCTGGGGCTATAGAGTTTAAACTAGCAACTCCTTCCCCATTCACGGTGAAGTAGGAATGACACCCGAGGTGTAAACTGCCTGCTCACCTCAGAGGGCAGCTCTAATGGCCAACAAGAGACTATCTAAGGCAGCCACCACTGGGGGCTGGCTGCCCAAAACTTCTGGCAATGAAGAACTTCCCAGGGTAGTAATGCCAGGGATTGTGATACTCTGATAAACAACAGCAACAAACACTTTAACACTTTTAAAGAGGCTTAATAGGTATCAGGTAGTCCTGCAAATTCTTAACTGCGGCACAACTGAGTTCAATTGCCCCAAGTCACACAGTGGCAGGTTTGAACGCTGCCAACTACATAAAAACTCATTAACTGAAATCTTCTGAGGACTGACGACATACTACAGTCTTAAATAAACATGTAGAAGTGGTCTGCTTGCTTACTAGAGGTGCAGGTGGCAATGCAGAACTAATGTACTCATGAGTTCTCTCTCACCCGCTTACTGTACCATGCCATTATTTGTCAAAGTGTGTTTCCCAAAACCACAATTCATCTCATTTTTAACTCTTGTTCATTTCAACTGGAGTAACACTTCTCTGAAAAATACTGGACCTCTGAAGCAGGCTTGGCAACAAGTTCCATACATACTACTCACTTTGAGAGGGAAAAAAACCAATAGCAGAATTAACTCACTTGAGTAACAGGATCTTACTTTAGTTCATTTAATCCTCACAACTCTGAGGGATAGAAGTATTACTTGCACTGTACAATTGAGGAAATGGAGATTTAGAGAAGTAAGTTGCTCACATCCAGTTGGCTGGTAATAACGGAGTCAGGATCCCAACTCAAATCTTACCCCTTCCAAAGACCAAGCTTTGAGCCAAGGTTAGCACTGAGAGCAGTAACTTAAGCCCTAGGTTGTAGTTTACCACAACCTTCAGCAGATGACTGTGGTTGAGAGCAAGCAGCTCTCCTAAGAGCTTGTTATGAGCAAGAGAGCTGGATTTATGAGGACTGGGGGTGGGGCAAGATCACAGAGTAGGAAAACTCTGAGCTCAGCTTCTCCCAAAGGCACAGGAGAGCTACATTTACAGTGAACTAGGAGTTGTTAGACTTCAAGCAAGTTACTTAATCCCTCTGAGCTACAATTACACCCACATGTAAAATTTTATATTAGTACCTATGCCTAATAAGATGAGAGGCAACAGATATAAAGCAGTTAAAACAGGGTCTGATACTTAGTAAACTATGCTAGAAACACCAAACTCTAGAACAAAGTAAATATCCAAGAAGTACAAAATATAATTTAGCAACCATAGCTTTTCTAGAGTATTTACAAACACTAAACCCCTAATCTTCATTCAGACTTTACTACATGTACCATAGAATCCCCACAGCAGGGTGCAAACACTGTATTATTACATTCTAATTACTGTTCATTAATAAGGCAGAAATAATTCTGGAATTGTTTTTTAGTCCCCCTACCTACACCACCAATAAGGTGGTTTCTCCCCCCTGCCACTTATTACGGAATTTATTCTACAAATATTTTCCTTCTCAGACCTTTGTAAGATCGCTGCTAGAATTTATGGATAACAAAAGAATAACAATTTAAATTTTCCATAGAAAGTCAGTAAACATACAGGAAAATACTCAAGAGACTAGTCTTTTCTCCAAGTTGTAGCTTCCTCATTCTCAATTCTTTGACCAAAAAGAAAAATTAATGCTGTAGCTTGCTGAAATATACTGCTGACAGGAAGCTAAAATAGTGAGTTGAAGGTAGCTAGTCATTTATTCGATAGCTATCAGATATCATATGACTACTACATGCCAAACACAGTAGCACCTGGGGATACAGCCATGAAAAAAAGCCCTGCCCTCATAGAACATACCTTCTAGGGAAAATAGACAAATTTAAAAAAGGTATGTTAAAAAAAAAAAGAAAGAAAAGAAAATGTATGTAGGGTGTCAGATGGAATGTGCTATTTTCTCACCTTAAAATAGATGTATCTGAGTGTATAACAACATGGCTAACTAGACAAAAGAACTTGGTAAGTACAGTAACCCTTCAGTTCTGACTGACTTTGATCAAGTTCTCTGACTTCTGGCCAGATATAAGAGGTAATTGGTTTTTCCTGTTGTACAATTTCTACATCCATAATATAATGCAGAAATCTGATAGTTCATCAAAATTTTTTTGTATTGGCCACTACTCAGTATTGTCAAGGATACAGAAAATGACATTCCTCTACAGCAGATGAGGATGTGTATATTGGTACAGCTTTTCTGGAGGGCACACTGGCAACAATAAAAAATCTTCCTAAGAGAATTTTTAGTTCTCTCTCTTATCCAGATGAATGTTTCTCCCTGAAATAGTGGTTGTCAAATTTTGGGTGGCATTGGAAGCACCCAAAGCTTCCACGGGCTCAGGCCCTATTATCTTCAACAAGCCTGGGCCTTAAAGGTGAATGATTCTTCTACAAGCCAAAGTTTGAAAAGCACTGCCCTAGATCTTCGCCCAGCTAACCTCTTCTGCTTCAGACGTTGGCTTAGATGTCACTGCCTCAAGGAGTGGTCTCTAAACACCAACCCATCCAGTGTACAGACGAGGCGCTATCCTCAAGGTTCTGGTGAGGGTCGCCTATGAACAGCCCAGTCCCATCTTTCTCTGTTGCAAGAAGGCAAGACTCCAAGAGAACAGGTAGTGTCTTTTTTTTTTTAACCATAATATCCCCAGTACCTAATAAAGTGCCTGACTCACTAAATCTCAAAAATACACCCACCCATTGTGAACCAGCATTTTCACTTCTAGGAATTCATCTTAAGGAAATAGGAATGTACTCAAATAATTAGCCACAGGGTTTCTGCAGAGCTAGGTTTGTGATGGCAAGATATGGAAATCACATGATCATCAATCAAGTGGTTAAACTAAAATAAAGATGCTGTCATTAAAAGTGATGTATTCAACAAACAAGTGGAAAATTTAAGTGATAAATGGTGGAAGAATCTATAGATCTAGAAACTCAAGAGAAATTAGCCAACTGCAATGAATGGAACTTACATGAATTTTGGTTTGAAGAATCTCCTTTTAAAGAACACATTTAGGACACTGGGAAAATCTGAATACTGACTATATAGTTTCATAGTTTGAGTGATAATGACTTAATTTTAAGAGTCCTTCTTTTAGAGATACACAATGATTTATTGAAATATCTGGCATTTGGTTTTTAAAAAACTGGGGAAGAGAAAAAAATAGGTGGGAGTATTGAAATTTTCAATAATAAAAATATTTTTTAAAATACTCCCAAAAGTGATGCAGCATTCATAAGGACTTAGAAACTTGCTCATTTATTAAGTGAAAAAACAAAACAGTGTGATCCCATTGTATACAAATATAAATACACACACCCAAAGGTCTAGAAGGGTAGATACCAAGGAAGCAAAAGCTTCCCCCTCTGTACTATCCAACACCCCTTCCTAGGATGATGAGGATGTTCTATAATCTGCCCTATTCAAAACAGTAGTCACTAGGTGCATGGCTAGTGAGCTCTTAAAAATGTGGTAGTTCAACAGGTGAACCGAACTCTTAATTTTGTCTAATTTTAATTAAATTTCAATAGCCACATGGCTGGTAGATACCATACTGAACAGCACAAGCAGACGATGGAATTATGATGGAATTCTTTACTTATTACTATTTAAACACTTTTCTAAAATGAAAAAGCACTGTTTTATAAGGAAAAGTAGGCTGTTTGTTTTCCTTTAAAACATTTACTATTGGTTTGGGTTCTCTTCGTCAAAGAACTATTCTGAAAATGAAATGAAGTGGAATAAAGCAAATTATACAGAAAAGTCTGAGGTGTTTGCTTTCAATTAATTTTTAAAGGAAAGGCAAAAACAGGCAATTCACTTCCAGGTCTGTTCATTCAACTCTCTATTCCTTCAGTCTCAATTCACAGAAAAACATTTTTCTGTCTGTTTACTAAAAGGATTCAGTGTGAATGTGTTGCCTAGATTAGAAACTTCAACAGATATCTCAATCATAATGGGAAAAAAATTAGAGTAGGGCCAAAAAAAATTTAAAAAGCCTTTTGTGGTTTTTAGCTAATGAATTAGGAGACATACAGCTCTGTGATCAGACAGAAGAAAATATTTAAAAGATCAAAATGGATTTCATGATTGAAGCAATCAGCAAATAGGATCAATCCGGACCAATTTGGCAGGAGTGGAAAGGAATATTGGACCTTAAACATGACAACTGTTAACAGGTATGTCTGCAATTTCAGTTCACAATAAAGTAGAAATCTAAGCATAAAAGAACTATGCCAGCAGTGAGATTTTTATTGACTTAACATAATTTCTCAGCATACAAAGTATTTAATCAGGTATAATATTTACAATTCTTACATAATGTACATTTAGAATAACTATAAAGATAACGTACTTTGCTCCATTTACAATGACATCCTACAGTGAAACTACATTCATGAATTAGATACAAATAAATTCTCTACATACTATTAAAAAGTAAATGGATGGTTGGTTATACATTCTTTAAAATATACTTTTTCACAGGTAGCAAGAAATATTACATGTAATAAGTCTTTACGACTGGAATGATCCAGAAATATCACAAAGCACAAGTAAACACATAAAGAAAAGTAGCTCGTCAT